ATGAGACTTGGCCACACCAAGCTGACCAACGGCCACTACATTGACAAAATATTACTCAATACATGTCCATTGTGCCGCAACTCGAGCATAGACATACGACACATACTATACACCTGCCCCTCCTATCATTTAATAAAAACGATCCCATGCAGTTTATCGCGAACCCCACTAACTCAAATTTCTAAACTATCTTCAAATTCTAAGAAACCGCAAATATCCTTGACAATATATAACCTAACTTGTAAATACTCATCAAAACATCTTTGTACATATTTATAGTGAGCGTAAGGCCTCAGTAGTTATGGCTCCTACTTTTGTTAATATTTAGTTTTAACTATTTAATAATAATAATAACATCTTAGCTAAGAGAGCCCATCGTACAGTGGGCAAAACGGCCAAAACGGCATTAATTTAATAACAAGCGTAATTTAAAAGATATCCTAATGATTTTTAGTTTTACAGGACTGTTAATAGCTGGATGATTGTACAAAATTTCAGTCATCTATCGGTCAACTATATCAAATAGATACGATAGTTCCGATCCGTCAAAATATTTAAAGATTTTAAAATACCATTCCAAAGATAGTTTACCAGTCTATCTTACGTAATTATAAATTTATTTAAATTCAAATATCTGAACTATCGGTACATTAAAAGTCTTTTGAAAGTTGAAATCTAATAGCACATCTTTAACTTCTTAATCCAACTCTATATTTTTTTTGAAAGCCTTGACGACGATTTTGATAACTTTGAAATTAAAGGATCAGATGTAAAGAAAAGAGCATGCATTAAATCTTCCATCGTATTTCTACGTGAAAACATTCGGTTGTGAGCCCTTTACATTTACGTTTCTCAATGAATCGTAGCTTGGAAAAATATTTGCGTAGTAAGATTTAGTTTTCGTTTTCACTAGCTTTTATGCATTTTTCGTGAAGCGCCCATCTACATTAATCGCCAAAGCTTCCTCAGGACTGAATTTAATAGGAAGTTTGGGATCACTGTTAGCACATTTTATTAAATTGAGCAATGATATAACTTAAGAAGCATTTCTCTCCCCACCTTTGTACAAGCTTACGTGTGCCACCAACATGAGCTCTTTCATCGATGATTTGTTTGCAAGAGATTTAGCTTTGTTTAATTTGGGTTTTAATGAACAATCTGCCAACTATTTTGACGGTCTTCCCACTGCACAGTGGGCCAGCGATCCCATTTTTTGACGTAAATTAAAATAATAAAGCTAGAGACTTCAAATTTTGTACACAAAATATTATCGACGTGTATATATATATATATCTTAATTTTAAACCGATCCGACCACGCCCACACCAAACGCCCATAAAAGAAAAGATTCGCTAATATTGATTTTTAACACGTAGTCCATTATGATAGAATATTTTATTATATGTTATTATGTTATTATTATTATATGTTATTAAAATTCTTAAAAATTAATATTTTTACACTTAAACTTAATACTTAGAGGGGGATGAATGTAGAAGTTTTTCAAAGTACAACGAATTTATTATTAATCTTCTTCTACACCTATTTCTATTGAAAATGAATTTTCATTATCGGAATCCGATTCGTCACTTTCACACATACCACAATAAGTATCAGTTTCTAGGGAAGCATTATTTTTATAAAAAATATTTTCAAAACATGGTGTTTCTAAAAGTTCAATAACAGCTTTCGGCAATGGATCCTTTATATTTCCACCCAAAACTCAAAAAATCGAATCCATGCGTGAAGTGGACTCATGCCATATTGTAATGTTCTACGTCCAGGCTTAAATTTCGGTGAATCCATATTTCCACTTTCCATGAAATCTTTTGGACTTGCTCCACAGATGGGACATAATTGGCCAGATTTAGTTTCAGTCAAAATGTTCAAAACTTTCCCGTCTAAAAGTGCCATATGCAGATTATATTTTACTGTTATGTTTCTTCCATTTATAACTGTGCAGACATATGAAGATAAATCTTTAATTTGATCGTCCAAATTTTTTTTTCTTCGATAATATGGTCTTTAGTCTCTTTAACAAATTCAAGTTTGATTGGCCTACAAAATCGTGTAGATAAAAGCTCCTTACTTCATTATTCATTTCATCCTTTTTCTCCGTGCTTATTTTGTATGCCTTCAGTTCTTCGAAAATCCAACTCGAAAGTGCTGCGGCGCTTCGATTATTCTCAATGTAAATACAGAGCAGCTTTTCATAAGTAAACTCCACCTCACCAACAAATAAATTAAAGTGCGCACACCGGCGCAAAAAAACGAGTTTTAGGATTATTTTATACACAGTTTGCACTACAATATATACAATATAAAAACATATTCAAAAACATGAGCACAAATTTGTTTAATATAATAACTCTACATACCCTGGCCTTTCTTTTCCATTACTTTGATTTCAGTTTTTGAACTTAGTTTCAATTTGGTAAGCTCTCAAAGTAAACAAACAGTTTCCCGCGTTTTTTACTATCGATTGCAGCTTATCAAACAGCTGACTTTAAAACGTTGCAAAAAGGCCAGGGATGCATTAAAACAAAAAAAAATTTTGATTTTTTTTAAATTAATGTATATACTAATTAAATGTTAATTTTAAATTAAGACATGCATTTTTTCGAATTAACGTCGAAAAATGGGGTCGCTGGCCCACAGTGCACTGGATATACATCTTCCTCCGGTTGCACCTTTAATATACAGTCGCCATCTAACCACTGCTTGTTATACTTTTCGAAATGTGACAATGTTCTATTACATTTTTTTCTATTTTTGCAGCAATGCGCTTACAAATGTTCTTATTCTTCTTTGAATTTCTTTGTGTTGTTCTTGGGAATAATCATTATTATTAAACTTATTTTAAAATATGTAATTTTCAACCGCAATAGACTTTTTGGTAGCGACCTTCTCGTTGCACCGAACTGAAAAAATGGTTCGTCTTGGGATGGACATTTTCTACAAATTAAATTACTCAGCCAGGCTCCGTTTTTCACATTCACAAAAGTTTTCCGATTTACTTCCGATTTTGAATAAACATAAATTAAGGCTCCCGTTTTCACATTCCGCAAGAACTATTCGTTTTTAAAACGAAAACATTTTCGTTTCGTACAACGAAACGACCCTTAATTGCAAAAGGAAAAAAAAGATGACTTATAGATGCATGAACATAAACTTGACACCTATATCAGGGTGATTTAACTTTTTCTTTCCTTAAAAATAATTTTATTTTAACCAAACCTCAAATTTGGGTCGGAAAAAATTGGCCATGGCAACACAAATTTTCGTTTTGGTGCAAACAGCAAAAATATGTGAAAACTGGAGAACCTTTAAACGAAAACGAAACATTTTGGATGAAAACGTAATCCGCAAAAGTAAATGAAAAACGGAGCCTGCCAGACTTTTAATTTCGGCAGCCATATGCAGATCATTTTGAGCATCCAAATTTACAATACCTTTGAGAATGTTTATCAAAAACAATTGAAGCCAGATCGCAACCGTCTCACAAGATGCACTCCACCAAACAAAGCAATATGTTCTTTAAGCAAAACTTTTCCAAAGGTCAACTTCTACAGTTATTTTAAACTAAGTAGTACATGTAATTAAACGTCATATACACCTTTGACCAAATAGCTACAAGTCTATAGTTCAAAATAAATATTAACTACGCTTTGATTTTTTAAAAGAAGTTATATAAAAGAAGTTGTATAAGCGCTTTAACGGATATTGTCGAAGATATTCGACAGCAACTAGATAAGAACTGGGTTACGTTTTTAACACTTCTCGACCACAGTAAGGCGTTCGACTCAGTCAACCATAATATTCTTTGCAGAAAACTGACCAACTTATTAAACTTCTCAGGGACTGCATTCAATTTTGTTAAATCGTACCTAACAAATAGATTGCAGGCAGTAGTATCCGGTACACATGCTGTCTTTTAGGGTTCTTACACGGGGGTCCCTCAGGAATCAGTACTGGGCTCCTTACTGTTTTCCATATATGTTAATGATCTACCCAGTGTCTTGTCTAATTGTAAAGTATATTTATATGCTGATGACGTCCAAATTTATGTTAGTAGTCCCGTTAATGAAATAAATCTTTGTGTCAATATTTCTAACAAAATGCTCTCCCTAATTGAGAAATGGGCAAAAGAGAATACGTCACGCAACATTTTTGTTGTCTAATCTACTCGAAAATATTTTACTACACGACAAAGAGTGCGTGTGAGAGAGACAGAAAACGTGTCTGAACATGTCGTCGGGCTCTGCGTAGCCACTGCAAATTGATTTGTTCCTTTTGGCTATAAAAATGATCCGATATGATCCAGATTCGCCAATCTGATAGATATGGGTATACTCTATGATTGTCCGTTTTTAGTTTTCTCGTATCTTCAATATTGTGGATGCCACAGATTTTCGTTCTTTGTGGGGGCGGAAGGGGAAGGGGCGAAGTTTTGAAATACATTTGTTATAGTGAGATCTAATAGAAGTGTGGATACCAAATTTTGTTACGCTAGCTTTAATAATCTCTAAGATGTGTGGATGCCTCAGATTTTCGTCCGCTTCTTTTTGGACGTTACACACATCCATTTTCACCACAAATCTAATATACCGCTATACTCATTTGAATTATCGGGTATATAAAAAAAACCGCGCGAGTACATCATCGAAAGTAGATTCTAAGTAAGAAACTTCTCTTAGTATAGCGGTTGTGTCATTTGAGCTGAGTATGACATATTAAAACATTGTTTGGCTGTAATTATTTTGGTGTCATGTTATGGCTTATGCGGGCCGAAACCGGCCTAAGTGTGACGGGCTCCGAGCGAGTCCGGCAGCCGCCTCAACCTAACCTATGGCTTATACATACGAATCTTTTTAATAGAACGTTAAAGTATTAAAATTGGATATAAAACATCATATATATATATACAAATACAATTTTACATACATATACAAACATACATATTTTTTTATTGAATATACATATTTCTCAAAATCTGACAGCACCGTGAAGTTTTGGAAAAACTGGAAGAAGCCGAGACGGCTAATAACCATTTATTGAAACGACTTGACAAACTAAAAAATGCGAAAAGTGCCATTCTTAAGGACCTATGACCGAAGATAGTAAATCGCATAGATATCATCAACCCCAGAAACGACGGAGACGCGATCGAGGATATCTAAAACAACACTTTATCAATATAACATAAATACTGCAAGTAAATTGGACGATAGCGCTGTTTAAATAATCATAATTGTAACATAATTGTAATTATTTTTAAAGACACATTAAAAATTTGTAATTAAATAACATCTTAAAACCATATAAAAGTAAGCTTTTTATACCGGGTAGCTGTTTAAAATATTGATATGCCAAGCACGAAAAATAAGTAAGATGGAAATAATGTGCTCATATTGCTTTTGTTATTATAGTCCATAGCCGAGGAAAGAGTTATTGAGAATTTCGTAAAATGCTGAAAATTAAATTCTTCGATAAATAGAAAAAGAAAAATTCTATTATTCTAAAAAATTCTGTTACGTTTAAGAAGAACAGTTTAAGAACAGACCTCTTACGGAGATCTGATATTAATCTTTACCAATTGGACTGACATCGTCATACTATTAAATGGAGGTTATGTTATCCAAAATTGATGACAATCTATTAAAATGTACTTACACTGGGCGTCATCAGATTAGCGTCCCATTGAACTTATTCTCATTGATTTTTTGATTTCCCATGTTATCTGAACCATTTAAAGTTAATTTAAGTTCTCCTTAAAAAAGAAGATCAATAACTACTTATAATCGAAAAAGATATTTTAATTAGTGTTTAAGTAACGTATGGATAAAAAATGTAAAGTTAATTTGGGAAACAGTATAGCGCCCAAAAATGCAAGTTAAGCTATCCCGCTTAATTCGGTAAGCTTGATCACCAAATTTGTTATGTTTATTGATTAGTTGCTTAAAACTCACTTAAAATGTAAGGGAAAAGGAAAAATAAAAAAATGTCGCTTTTTCGAGACGGAACTTGAGAGTTTAGGAATATATTCTTTTTGTGGTGGATGCGGATGTATCGGGGAATAAATAATTTGGGCTAATCTATTTGAATTGTGCGCGCATAGTGAGACCAGAATGTGAGTTGATCAACTCAATCAATTCAGAGAAGACGCGATCCCAAATCCGAGCTTCTAGCGTTTGCGTTGTTGAAGATGCGAAAAAACTATGCAAGCGGTTGTAACGAACCTACTTTTTGGGCCGCTTGAGTTTGCTGGGCTCGCTCAGCGGTCGGCAGATTCGCTGCAACGTATTTTTATTGTTGCCCCCAACGACAAATAATAAAGACTTGCTCTTCGGTGATCTAGTTTCGTTTTATTCGTATGGCGTTATATTAGGACTTAGGGCTAGATATGAAAATTTTACTTAGCTACGGATCTCCACCACGCACGGGCTCTCGTCGAGTGTGGCAGCGTTGAGGCTAATGATTGGGGCAAGTTGACCTCAGCGATTGCTTTGGCCCGCCACTCAAGTCCGCACTCCACGTCTCGCACTCCCCTCCTAGATTCCGCCAGTAGATGTGGATCACCACTTAACTTAGACTCACTCTGTGGGCAGGCGGGGCCTGTTTCTCTTCTTCCGTATGCACTTCACTACACTTCTTCGAACCGTACCGGGTATCACTTTTACGTTTTAGCGGGGTTCAATGTGCGCGCGCGACCACTCATCTGCGAAAGCTGTCGCTCCGTTGCCGCAGTTTCCTTTTATAACCCTGCCTTAACGGGACCCCGGCTCGGGCAGCGGCGTGTGACTGGCTTAATTCAACAGCAGCCAGCAACTCAGCTTTCAATGATATGAACAGAGTATCGAAGTTTTCGTGCAGCTCACTCCCAATCTCGTTTTGATCGAGAGCCTCCAATATAATGGGCCTTATTGAATTCCTCTCGAATTTCTGCCAAAATATCAATGCGCACCTCGAATTCCGCGGCGGTCAAATTGTCGATTTTATTTCCCGCGAAGGATTCGCCAAGTCTGTACAATTGATCATATAATGACTGCACTTTAGGCTTATAAAGGCTCAGCCTGGTATCAGCCATCACAATATTTCCGCCCGAGCCTGTATTCGGATCGTTGTTCATGTTAACCGTTGTGCAATTCGACACAGCAACGGAAAATGAAATACCGCTTAAGCGACGATGTATAGACGCGAGAGCGAGAATGGAAGACACGAAAAGTCAAGAACCGCGGCTGCAGCTGCGCAGAGAATGAGAGATTCGATGCTTAAAGTACCGGAACTCTCACTGAAATTTGCACTGTTTTTTAACGTGCACCAAATGTATTTGTTGGTAGTTAAACTACCCAACAACAAAATATTGTACAATTAATGTGTTTTAAACGGAATGCGATTAAGCAATGTTTTTATATCACGTCGGGGGGTTACCAATGGTTGAGATGCCAAGCTTTTTTGGCACCTATTAATTTCCAAACTAAAAGAAGAAGAAATTTGGTTTAACTTTATAATATTTATTGGATTTTTGTGGCTGAGCTGAAGCCGATTGCTTGCTAGGGCGAGATAGGTAAGAGGTAGGCAACCGATGCGCAGAGGGGTTCGCATGAAATTAAAAGACGACGGCGGCGGCACAGCAAGTTAATTGCCGAATTGCCGGCGGCAGAGAGCCCCTTTAGCGGGAAAGCGCAGCAGCTCTGCAGAACGTCAATGCTTGCAAAACATAGGCGGCTCACTCTTTTCATACAATAACAATTACAATGCATAAATTTACTTCCTAATTCATTCTTCGGCGGCTGGCCCGAACAGTATTTTTTATCTATTCGATTAACAATAAATCATGAACCTTATCGACAATTTTTTTACTTTTAATATCTAATATTTAAAATTCTCGTGTCATAAGCTTTTTTGCTAATTTCCTCCGAAATGGCTCGACCAATTTTCGTGAAATTTTGTGTGATTATCGGATAGGTGTGCGTATCGTCCAACATCTATTTTTTTTATCCCGATCAGACCACTCTTTGGGTACCTATGTATGTCCTTTATTTGGGAGGTCTTTGTTGCTAAACGCCTCCGAAATGGCTCTACTGATTTTCGTGAAATATTGTGTGCTTATCGGTTACGTGAGCACATCGGCCAACATCCAGGCCACTCTTAGAAGCGAAAACACCAACAAAAAAATCGAAAGCAAATGAAATTTAAAAAAAATCGGTTGAGCCATTTCAGAGAAGTTCAACAACAAACATTGTAACCAGCGAATTTAATACATTTGAGCAATGCCAATAATGAACCAAATCAACAGAGGCAACTAGAACGGAGAGTAACGCGCAGATAAAAAGTCGAAAGACGTAGAGGAATTGACCAACAACACCAACAATATCATCGATCATTTACATTAAATTTATTTCTTCGACTAGCATTCCAGTATGAGCCTGATGTTAAATATTATGCTCATTCTAAAGTGCTTATTGGTACTTTGGAAAAGAAATGCCCGCGTTGACATGCACTCAAATTTAAAACTAGCCAGTTGGGATGTCTTGCTCATCAGGAGAAGTACAAATAACCGAATTTGAAACATCATCTGAACCATTGCACTGTTTACTTATCGGTACAGATCCAGATTCGAACATGTTTTTGAAGTCAATTCGCACATTCAATTCATGTTTCCAAATGACATCATTTGGAGCAAAAGAAATAGTTAACAATATTACTGCAAACGGTCAACAATTTAATTCCACCTTCAAAATCAAAGGCAAAGTTTATCACAAAGTGGGCGAATTGCTACCAATTCCAAACGAATCTCATACATTTTTACAAATATGCTTTATGGGTGGCGAGGACTCCGAACGTGCACTCCCCAATCGCGTGGATGCACGTTGCGACTATCGTAATCAATTCTTTGAACGCTTTGTTGAATGAGCACAATGAATTATTGAAATTATTAAAATCGCACATGCAAAAACTACAAAGTGAAAGTCATGCTATTCTCATCAATCCTGATAGAACACCAGCTGGAGAGCATATACGTAGATTGAATGCACCTGTTTTTGACGAAATCATGGTTGGCGACCGTACAGCTACGCGACAAATCGTGATTCGGAGAATAAATAATGATCTTCAGTTTATTAATGATACCCATCGCTCATATGACGCTCACCAATATCCACTAATTTTCTGGAAGGGACAAGACTGATATTGTGTAAATCAACGAGATCCCGTAACAGGTAATTTATTCATTACCATCAACATGGCTATTTTGTTATTAAAGAATAAATCTTAAATTATTATTGCAGGAGCCGAGACAGATAGGAACGTTAGTTCGAAGGATTTTTATTCGTATAGTTTGATGATTAGACGCCGCCGAGACAGCACCATTTTACGATGTCGTGAGCTTTGCCAAAAATTTATGGTCGAAATGTACATATGTATGGGAAGATAGAGAGTGAACGACTACGATTCTTGCGATATAATCAACAGAAGCTGCGTGCGGACAAATATATTCACGAAATTTATAATTATGTTATCTTACCACGATCCTACGTAGGTAGTCCACGTAACATGGAAGAACACATACAGGATGCTATCACTTTCGTGCGTGAATATGGGCGACCGTGTCTTTTCATTACTTTTACATGTAATCCAAAATGGCAGGAGATTACATCGTGGCTATTACCAGTACAAATAGCACTACATCGTCATAATATAACAGCACGTGTGGTTAAACAAAAACCTCACACGTTGTTGGATGTATTCAGTTGAGTGGCAAAAGCGTGGATTACCTCATGCTCACATTTTAATTAGGTTCGTCGACAAAATACGTGCTGAAGACATCGATAGTTTGATTTCTGCAGAGATTCCAAATCCGTCCACTGATCAATTACTATTTGATATTGTTACTACAAACATTGAATCTGAATCGTTCATCATCGTGCATGGTAGACGGAAAATAAACAGTGTGCAAGTACAATGTAGTGTTTTCTTAAAGATTTTACAAACGATACGGTACCACATGTTGACGGATATCCAATATATCGTCGAAGAAGTACCGAAAATGGCGGAAAATCGTTCATTAAAGCTATCAGTAACGCATACATCGACATTGACAATCGTTGGGTGGTACCATATTTACCTCTGCTGAGCAAAACATTCAATGCTCATATTAATGTTGAGTCCTGCAGTTCGGTGAAGAGTATCAAGTATACTTGCAAGTACTTATGTGAATAAAGGAAAATATATTTTACTTCTTGGATGCAATCACTGCACCGTCAAGTGGCCCGTCTGAAACCAGTAGAAGGCTGTTACGCGAGCATGCAGTAAAGATAGATGTTACACTAATATTCGAGGAAAATTGGCACTACACTTACTAAGAAACTAAGTGTCGGGTCAAGCAGCTTAAATATTTTAAATTATTGCCAGTGGTGCGGCCCAAAGGAAATGCATTTTGGTTTTGTCGTTTCCAATGCCCCCACTGCAAAGATCATTTGCTACCGCATATGCGCATGCAGCGGAATTCTTTCGTCTCCTTATGTCGCAATCTCTCGGACTCGGCTTAACAGCGTCCCCGAGCAGCTCTAACGCTCTCGGGCTATCATACGCTCTCGCTCGCGTCTAAGCTTGCTGCATAAGGCAGTCTTGAGCTAATCGTCGCAGCTATTAGATTAACATCCTCGCATCAATCGTTAACCCAATCATCCCCTTATGTACATACGCGATAAGTAGGTTTACATATGCAAATAAATTGTGAATTATAAACAGCCTCTCGACTTTCATTAACTTCAAATTGCAACAGTTATTAAAAACGCTTAATAGCTTAACATTTGGTGACCCCGACGTGATTGTGCAATAAATAATCCATCAGTGCAATCACAAACTAATATAGCATTCAAAGATCTAAACTAATTGCCATCTCAACCAGTGTCATCAACCACATAAGTTATCCACACATATATACACCGGCCTCCCCTGCATATTCGGTAGTGCACGTACATAGCTGTTGGCTTGCGCTTCTCTTTTCGGTCATCTTCCCGCAAGAAACGTTTCTTGCACCGGTCGCCTTTGTATATACAGTTCGTACATAGCTGTTCGCTTGCTGGGCTCGGTTCTTGTCGTCTATTGCTCGTGTTACTCTTTGCGATCATCTTCCCGCTAGAGACGTTGGTCTTTCTGCTAACGCTGCCGCTACCATGGAAATTAATGCTGCTAACGAAATTCCAATGACCAGTGAGCAAAACAGGGTGTCTTTTTTGAAGCTTAAGTCAACGGAATTATGCGAGAAAATGAAAAGGTTAGCTACCGCTTGGCAGAATCAGTCGTCGGACTGTGACTACTACATGCTCGTGGTAAAGCAAGAGCAAGTCGAGAAGTTGATCGGCAAATTTGAGATGTTTCACGGCGAGCTTGAGGAATTGGATCGAAGCGAAATTCGCAGTGGTTTGTGTGACATTTTTGAGTCACTTGCAAGCTCGCTGAAGGCGGCGATTATGAGGGAAATGGCTAAGAGTAGCGGCCGCATGCCGTTTTATTCTACCTTGGCTGGAGGAAACACTACGGTTGATTTTGCCGGCTCGCAATTTCTACCTCACCGTAGACAAGTACCATCCCTGCCTCCTATACAATTGCCGACGTTTAGCGGCGGGTATGCGAACTGGACGGACTTTTATTCAATGTTTGCCACCATCATCGACAGCCATCCGGACTTAACAAACATAGAAAAGCTCCATCATTTGCGTTCCTGTCTGCGGGATTCGGCATTGGAGACTGTTCGGTCGCTGGAAATCTCAGATGGCAATTATGCTGTGGCATTAGATTTGTTGGAAAACAGATTCAATAATCGGCGATTGGTTTTTCAGGCACACATCAATGAGATCTTGGCGCTTCAGGCTGTGGAACCTGGGTCAATGGTCATGCTTCGGGAGCTTTCAGACAAGTTCAATTCACATATGCGCGCGCTCCAGGGTTTAGGCACCACTGAGCAGATCGCAGGATGCATCATCGTGCAGGAGCTTCTCCGAAAACTGGATCCAGCGAGCCAAGAGAAGTGGGAGGAACGATTCAACGACCCCGCATTCGCCAACTTAATTCCGTCGTGGGAATCTATGGCCTCGTTCTTGGAGCAGCGATGCAGATCATTGGAGACGATGGACTTTTCTATGGCAAGCTATGCGTTGAGCAATCAGGTGGGCAGAAGTAGAAAGCATAATAATTCTAGGTCCACATTGGTTACAACGAACCAAACCCTAGCACGCTGCGCGCTGTGCAACGATGGTGCTCACGAGGTCCAGCACTGTCAGAAGTTTAAAGCGCTGTCCCCCACAAATCGCCATAAAGAAGCCAAGCGGCTTTCGTTGTGTATAAATTGTCTCAGAACAGGGCATCGATTACTTCAGTGCACCTCGAGCAACTGTCGTACCTGCGGGGGTAGACACCATAACCTCCTTCATTTTGGTAGCCCTGAAGATACCGCAGTCCAAGGGAAATCAGCTCCGTATACTCCATCTCAGTCTGCGCTGTCTGAGTCTACGCCGTCTGAGCATACCACTGAGCCCTCTACTTCAGCGTCTACCTCGTCTGCCCTTATTGCCCGAGATCTCAGGAATGGTGTTTTTCTACTTGCTACGGCTACGGTCTTAGTCAAAAATCGTTCCGGAGTTTTAGTTCCCTGCCGAGCGTTGCTGGATTCCGGCTCCCAGTTGCATCTAATAACTTCTCGTTTCGCGAGTCAGCTTCAGCTTCGAAAAATGAAATCATCGACTGCAGTCTCGGGAATAGGCGACTCTAGCTTCGTCACGGATGGATTTTCGGTCAACGTTAGCCTGCACTCTCGCTCATCGGATTACTCAACTCTCATCACTGCCATTGTAGCCTCTAGCATAACCGATCGACAGCCAAGCTTTGGAATTGACACTCAAAACTGGAACATTCCATCTAACATACCACTAACTGATCCGGAGTTTTATAAGCCACAGCGCGTCGATCTGCTAATTGGCGCAAGTCTGTTTTTTGAGCTCCTGTGTGTTGGTCAGGTCAAGCTACTGCCAGAATTGCCTTCAATTCAGAAAACGCGCTTGGGATGGGTCGTGTCTGGAAGTTGTTCGCGTTCAAAAGGTTCTTCGTTGATGATCTCTCGCGCACGGGCCGTAGCTGCTGAGGATAATAGTCCAGAGGATCGGCTTGAAGTGCTTCTTCGGAGGTTTTGGGAGGTAGAAAATTGCATCGAACCAATAATAAAGTCTACCAAAGAAGAGCTAGATTGTGAAGCACACTTTGTGCAGCATTTCCGTCGACTACATAAAGGCGATTATTGTGTTCGGCTGCCAGCAAAATATAATTTGGATCTCCAACTTATCTTACAATCAAGCGCTTCGTAGATTCCTGACCCTTGAGAGAAAGTTAGATCGTCGCCCTGATGTTAAATCTCAGTATGCAGCATTTATAATGGAGTACCTTGATTTAGGCCATATGTCTCAGGTTCCTACCCAGTCAATCAGCAACTGCCGATATTTTTTGCCTCACCATTGGGTCATGAAGGAAGATAGTTCTACGACCAAGCTTCGCGTCGTTTTTGATGGATCCGCTTCAACCTCATCTGGATATTCCCTGAACGACGTTTTAATGGCTGGTCCCGTAATCCAACCCAAACTGTTTCATATTCTTGCTCGATTTCGGTAATACGCCGTTGCGATTACGGGAGATATCTGTAAGATGTATCGTTGTGTAAGAGTCTCGACCGAGGATAGCAACTTGCAGTGTATTCTGTGGAGAAACTCCAGGGAAGAAGACTTGCATGTGTTTCAATTGGACACCGTTACTTATGGGACGAAGCCTGCCTCCTATTTATCTGTGCGAGCGATGCATCAGTTGGCAATGGACGAGCAGATGGCGTTTCCAGTTGGAGATGAAATCCTTCGCCGTGACTTCTACGTGGATGACTTGATATCTGGAGCCAGCTCGCAGGAGGAGGCTATCCGAATTCTGGAGCAAACTACTGGAATTTTGGCTAGAGGTCAGTTCAGATTGAGGAAATGGTGTTCGAACGTCCCTGCTGTGCTGGATGGAGTTCCGGAAGAGGACAAGGAAACATTTTTGAAGTTCGACGATGGCAGCCATGTGACTAAAACTTTAGGACTTGCGTGGGATCCGGTTTCTGATCTACTATTATTTTCGTTCTCGGCCCTTCAATCTTCTTTGAATTCCTGCAGGCGCTCTGTTTTGTCATCCATAGCGCGATTCTACGATCCTCTCGGACTAGCTGGTCCCGTAATTACTAAATCCAAAATTTTTCTCCAGCGAATGTGCCAAGAGAAGTTGTCCTGGGATGAAAGCCTTCTAGTCGCACTGAACACCGAGTGGCAGGAAATATGCGCCAGATTTGGTCAGATTCGTCGACTTGAATTTCCTCGGCTTGTACTCCTTCCAGACTCTACGCTGGAAATTCACGGATTTTGCGATGCCAGCATCGAGGCTTATGGTGCATGCATTTATGTTGTGTCCAAGGGTCAGCATTCCAGCAGTCGCTTACTTTGTGTCAAATCTCGTGTGGCTCCTTTGAATACACTTACAGTACCAAAGTTGGAGCTTTGTGGAGCGGAGTTGCTGGCTAGGCTCATATCTGAGGTAGCTGGAATGGATGTATTCAAGGGAAGGTGTTACTGTTGGTGTGATTCTGCTGTTGCGCTCTCTTGGATTCGGGACGAGCCGTCAAGATTTAATATATTTGTTGCAAATAGACTCTCAACGATTCAGGAAATGACCGAAAAAATGGAATGGTGCTATGTTCCTACAGCTTTAAACCCAGCCGACATTCTGTCTCGAGGGGCTCATCCGCCTGAATGAGTCACCTCTTTGGGCTCATGGTCCTCCATTTCTTTGCGGCTCCTCAGATGACTGGCCACCCACTGTGCTACCTGATAAGCCAGCCCTTGAACTTCGTCGGAAGGCTCTTCTGGTCAAATCGCCCTACATGGACATTATTGCTGATTCCAAGTATGCGAATTCATTTGCTTCTTTGCAACGCGTTTTCGGATACATTCACAAGTTTTGCAACCGAATTCGGCGCCCCGGACTCACTGTCTCAGACATTGAACATGGAACCCAGGTATTTCTACGACTAGTCCAGTGTACTCAGCTATGGGAGGTCATGAAGTCACTGCGGGCAAGGGGAGCAGTCTCCTAATCGAGCTCAATCGCATCGTTATCGCCATTCATGGATCAGTTTGGACTTCTCAGGGTAGATGGTCGACTGAAAAACTCTTCGTTGGATTTTGATGGCCGTCATCCAATCATCTTGCCCAGCAGCCATCCACTGACTCTTGTAATAATCTCCCATTTTCATGAGCGGAATCTGCACGCTGGTCCTCGAGCTTTGCTTGGACTGATTCGATCCCAATATTGGCCTATTGGGGGGAGGAAGACGGTAAACAAGGCAGTAAACAAGTGCGTAAGATGCTTTCGACTGAAGCCCAGGGTATTGGAGCATATTATGGCGGATCTTCCAAAGGAGCGGCTCGATGGTTCTCATGCCTTTGAGATCACAGGCGTGGACTTCTGTGAGCCGTTTTTCTACAAACCGGAGGCACTCAACAAGGCTCCAATCAATTGCTACGTCTGCGTCTTCATTTGTTTCGCTACCAAGGCTGTTCATCTGGAGCTTATAAAGGACTTATCCACAGTTGCTTTTCTACATGGACTAAAGCGCTTCATATGTACCAGACGAAAGCCGCGGCAAATTTGGTCAGACAACGCACCCAATTTTGTCGGCGCTAAGAATGAGCTGATGGAAATAAAGCGCCTGGTCCTCAGCGATGACCATCAGAAGGCGCTGCTGGATTTTTGCTTGGTCGAGGCTATGACTGGCATTTCATTCCTCCGCGCTCCCCTCATTTTGGTGGTCTATGGGAGGCTGCAGTGAAGACGGCCAAGTACCACTTCTACCGTGCGATAGGCAACTCGGTTCTTGGATTTGACGAGCTGCGGACGCTGTTGTGCCACATCACGGCAGTGATTAACTCAAGACCTTTAGTTTCAATTTCAGAGAGCCCTGCCGATCTAGATGTTCTAACTCCAGCGCATTTCTTGAATGGTGGCCCTCCTGCTTCGTTCGCTGAGCCTGACGTCACGCAGCTAAACTTCGATCGCCTGGACGGCTGGCAGCGCGTTTCGTACCTGCAGCAGCTCTTTTGGTCCCGGTGGAAGGAGGAGTACATAACGTCACTGCAGCAGCGCTCAAAGTGGCGCACTGCGAAGCCTAGTTTAGCTGTCGCAGATTTGGTTCTTGTCAAGGATGAGAATCTTCCTCCCATGAAGTGGCCACTGGCGAGAGTGGTCGAGCTTTTGCCCGGACGAGATGGCGTTTCCCGAGTTGCTGTGCTGAAGACGTCATCTGGAATCACAAAGCGCGCCGTCAACAAGCTGTGCCTGCTGCCCCTTAAAGATGCTGTTGAAAGTCAGGCTTCCAACGGGGGGAGTATGTCGGGTCAAGCAGCTTAAATATTTTAAATTATTGCCAGTGGTGCGGCCCAAAGGAAATGCATTTTGGTGTTGTCGTTTCCAATGCCCCCACTGCAAAGATCATTTGCTACCGCATATACGCATGCAGCGGAATTCTTTCGTCTCCTTATGTCACAATCTCTCGGACTCGGCTTAACAGCGTCCCCGAGCAGCTCTAACGCTCTCGGGCTATCATACGCTCTCGCTCGCGTCTAAGCTTGCTGCATAGGGCAGTCTTGAGCTAATCGTCGCAGCTATTAGATTAACATCCTCGCATCAATCGTTCGCCCAATCATTCCCATATGTACATACGCGATAAGTTGATTTACATATGCAAATAAATTGTGAATTATAAACGGCCTCTCGACTTTCATTAACTTCAAATTGCAACAGTTATTAAAAACGCTTAATAGCTTAACACTAACCATGCATTCAAAATACAAATACAAATACAAATACCACTACTATTACTACTTAAGTACTAGAAAAGTGTGTAAGGATTAGTAATGTAATAAGAGGATGAGAATTAGTGGTGGATATAATATGGTAGAGGGAATTATTATCCGAGCATACGACCCTAAATGGTTCATTTAAGGAATAATTCGATCTACAAAGTGGAAGAAACAACGTGAAGTTTATGCGGCTCAAAGATCAGGGCTGTATTTAGAATTGAAAATACTAATGTATGTAAATGCTCCTCCGGTGAATAAAAATGATGAAATTACGAATTACCAAATTGGCCGGTATATCAGTTCCAATGAAGCTGTCTGGCCTATTTTTGGTTTCCCAATTCATTAACGGGATCCAGCAGCTATACATTTAGCTGTTCATCTTGAAAACGGCCAGCGCGTATATTTCACGGACGGTACAGCGCTTGACCGTGCTATAAATTCACCAAAAACTACGCTCACCGATTTTTTTGAGCTGTGCAATCGTGCGGATGCTTTTGGTGCCTTCGCACAAACACTGCTCTATTCAAATCAAATAGTTTGGGTTGTGTATATACAGTCAATCCAAGGCAGACTGAGTGCTTTTATGTGCGACTGTTGTTCGTAAATGTTACCGGACCATTGTCATTTCAAGATATACGCAAGGTAGATGGACAACAGTATCCAACGTATAAAGATGCATGCCTTGCACTAGGCTTGCTAAAAGACAACAATCATTGGGACAGTATGCTTGCTGAAGCAGCATTAAACTGCACAGGAACAAAAAAATTTCTATAGTAATGACTACATGTTTCCCGGCCCGAGCACAAGTGTTTTGGGATAATCACAAAGATTCAATGACTGATGATATACTGTATCGACATCGTACAAGGTGTAACGATCAAACGATATCGTTCAGTGATGCAATGTACAATGAAGCATTGATTGCTATCGAGGATCATTGCATTGATATTGCGAGTTTACCAATCAGTCATTTCGGTCTGAGCTCACCGAATCAAAGTGCATCCGATTTACTCAAGACAGATATGAATCGTGCACTAAAGCCATTGTTAGTCACAATGTTCCACTACTAAATGATAAACAAAAAGTTATTTACGACCTCGTTATGCTGGCAGTTTCGGCAGGATAAGGAGGATCCTTTTTTCTTGATCCAAGTGGAAGTGGAAAAACGTTCCTTATTTCGCTACTTCTTGCCAATATACGATACAAAAAAAGTTGCATCGCATTGGCCGTTGCATATTCTGGCATTGCAGCAACTTTATTAGATGGCCTCCGTTAGATGGGGGGAACGTTGTGAGTTGCTGCGGACACCGCAACTCTACATTTATACCTGATACTTAGTCAGTATGGCTCTCCTCCGGCAGACGCCGCTAATATTGAACAACACGACAAAGAGTGCGTGCGAGAGAGACAGAAAATCAGTCTAAGCGTGACGTCGGGCGCTGCGTAGCCAGTGAAAATTTATTTGTTCCTTTTGGCTATAAAAATGATCTGATCTGATCCAGATTCAGAAATCTGATCAATCAATATTGTGGATACCACAGATTTTCGTCCTTTGTGGGGGCGGAAGGAGGTGGGGCGAAATTTTGAGATATACGTTTTATAGTGAGATTTAACAGGAGTGCGGATACCAAATTTGGTTACTCTAGCCTTAATAGTCTCTGAGATTTGTGGATGCCTCAGATTTTCATCCTTTGCGGGGGCGGAAGGGGGTGTGGCGACATTTTGAAACAAACTCGTCTCGGTTCGATATATTAGGAGTGTGGATA